CCTTGGAAACCCAAGGAGGGGTCACTATGAGTCAGATACGACTCAACGGCAGTGGGTTGGGTTGGTTGGGTTAAGAGGTGGAAAAGGGGGATCTCACCACCAGCAAGAAAGAGAAACCAGGAGCGGAGGGTATCCTTGGACCAGAGATCCCAGCATTGAGACAGCAGAGAGATGGTGGCAGCAGAACCAACAGACCCAAGAGACCAACACAAGACAGAGCAGTGGGCTTGCAAGCCCAGAGAATGAGAATGCTGAGTGCCTATGGACAGGAGGCAGAGTGGGATGCACCTAGGTGTACCTATGAGCAGAGCGAAAAGAGCTGTGTAACACTTGCCCAAGCAGGGCAGAGGCCAGGCTGAAAGGCCAAGGGCTAGAGAGGCTTGTCTGAGGGCACATCAGAGGGGAGACTGTCCTGATCTAAGAATTGTGTCCTGAGCATTCCTGGACCTAAACTGTAACCTGTTACTTCCTTTGTAAACCCCTTAATCGTGAGTATCGTGTGTGAGTTCATGGCCATTGCAATGAATTATCAAACCCAGCAGAGAAGTAGAGAGTGCTGGGGGTGGGTCGGCTGGTTTTAGAACTAGTAAAATGTTTGGAAGGTGGTGGCATGTCTGACTTCCACCTCAGAGGGATCAGCCTTGGGCTGCTGATGTGGATCTTGATCCTTCTCCCCCCTTGTGAAGTTACAGGAGGTCAAAAGATGCTACCCCCACCTTCCTTTTTACTTTTTTTGGTTTGCTGTGGAATCCTCAATGCTGCTCACGGGGGCCTTATACATAATAGGTGTTCAATGTTTGTTAAGTGAATGAACAAATGAATTTAATCTGGAAAACAACTTGCGAAGTAAGTACTTGTTTTAACCCCATTTTGTAGATGAGAAAACTGAGGCACAGAATGGAGAGGCAAATAAATGGTGGAGCTTGGAAAAAGACAAGGAGGACCGGTTTGGGCAGGATCACACAGCATGCACAAACACCTCTCTGTTCACTTGTGCTTGCCTGTCCTCCCTGGCCTGGGAGGCTCATGAGAGACGGGCAGCATCTATCCTGTGCACTGCTGTATCCCAGGACCGAGTCATAGTAACAAGGATGGCAGTAACAGTAACCTAGGTCCGTGATATTCTCTCTGCAATCTTGGATGCAGAAATTTGAGAGCTCAGTAGTTTGCATGTCTTAGCAAAGTCATGTGTAGTGTATACGTGGGTCTGGGGCAGTACACACTGACACTGGGTTGAACCATAAGAAATTGCCAATACGCAACCATTTTTGACTTACAAAAAATAAAAATTCATATGGTTCAGCGTAATTATATCCATAGGAAAAACTATGACTCTCCATCTTAAATATAGATTATAAATAGCCTTAGGTTCTTCAGGACAGATTTTGCTGTCAAATCAGGTGTGGTCCAATTTGCAAAAAGCTTTCTATTTCTGAAGTTTTGTGTTCACAGTAGCAGAGAGTCAATGGTAGACCTGCCATACTGATGACAGGTGTTAACTAGCTGTGCCAGAGGCTTTCCATGTATTCACTAACTCATTTAATCTTCCTAACACCCATAAGAAGGAGCTCTGGTAACACATTGCCTAAGGCATCTGACTACTAACCAGAAGGTTGGTGGTTCAAACACACCAGCCACTCTGTGGAAGCAAGACTGAGTAATCTACTACTTCCATAAAGATTTACTGCCTCTTAACTCAAAATGCACAAACAGCAGAAGAGAAACCAGATGATTGGGACCTTCTAAAAATTAAATTTTTATATGCTTCCAAAGACTTCTCCGAAAGAGTCAAAAGAGAACCTACAGATTGGGAAAAAATATTTGGTAAT